TATACATACTCACATTTAATTTCGGATCAAAATTAAATCACCGGTACAAATAACAATCACGAAATGTGTCTTTACTTACATACTTGCATAATTTTTTCTGTCCCTTCGTAGTCTAAACTGCTTAGGTACTTCTCCAGTTCCCTCCTGCACACAAACCTCGTCATGTTTGTCAAACTTTTAACTTTACTTATGCGATTATAAAGCAGCGGGCCGAGAAAGTGTGAAAAACATTGAGCAAACGCAGTTTTAAAAGAGGGCACCTCATAGATACCGTGTGTTCTTCTCATGGATCTATTTGGAGGCCTTTGGCGACGATGTTGCTTTAAAATAAGGTATTTAATGAAATGTTGACGAATAGTGAGGACTTCAAATTCCCTATACAATTTTAAGGTAGGGTACTTAAACGGTTTGAAATTAATTATTTTTAGAATGCACCGTTGGGCTCTTTCAATTTTTATCAGGATACTTTTACGCGCACCACCCCAAGCCGCAATCCCATAAGTAGCTATAGACTGACATAAAGTAAAGTATACCATCCTATTAGACTTCTGGTCTATTAAGTTTCTAATCTTTTTAAAAATGGGAATGAGTTTACGTATTCTAGATCTGAGATTAGTAATATGTCTTTTCCAGTTCAAATTCTGATCTATTTCAATCCCAAGATATTTTATACTCTCTACTGCAGATAAGGTGTAACATTCGCAACAGCCTGTAGAAGCACATGTTTCAGTATGTACCTGCAGTATGAAATTAGGTGGAGGCTGTAAATTCTTTCTTATACTAAAACTGATATATTTTGTTTTGTTAAGATTTAAAGTTAATAGATTGCAGTCAAGCCAGTTGGTAATGATTTGGATTCCCGTCTCAGCCACTGCCTTAACTTGCGTCCATGACGAGTGTTGAAATAAAATGACAGTATCATCAGCAAAAGTAATTATTTTCATATTGGGTATTTGAATGTTGCATAGACTGTTTATATATATGAGAAACAATGTAGGCCCCAGCACAGATCCCTGTGGAACACCGAAATTAACTTTTAGCTTAGAACTATAACCATTTCCAATCTTCAGTGTTTGCGTCCGATTAGTAAGGTAATCTTCGAGGAGATCCAGGGGTATTCCTCTAATGCCTATAGACTCTAATTTGCGAATCAGTAGAGGAATTGATATAGTATAAAAAGCCTTACTCAAATCAAGGAACGCACCTATACATCTTTTTCTACAGTCCAGATTTTGCGCCACATTTGTAACTAGCTCCTCAATAGCGTCCGAGGTAGATTTATGTTCTCTAAAGCCGTATTGATTTATAGATAGGATCTTATTATTTTCCAGATAACTAACTAATCTCTTGTTGATAATTTTTTCCAAAACTTTAGCCAATGTTGGCAGAAGTGAAATCGGTCGATAATTAGTGATACTGTCCTTTTCACTAGACTTGTATACTGGTATTACAATGGAATCTTTTAGGACGTCAGGAAATCTGCCATTAGATAGACACAAATTCAATATACGCATCAGAGGTCCAGTAATGAAGTGTACATTTTTTTAAGAAATTGGACGATATGCCATCCCAACCTGTCGAATTAGTATTTTTTAGCGACATTATGATTTTATGTACCTCAAATTCATCAGTTTCTAGCAGCATAAATGAATTCAGTGGAGTGTCATTACATCTAAAGCTTTCCACCATCTCTGCCTCAGACAGTTTTAATTTTTGTAAAATATTATTTGTTAAGTTAGCACCTATGTTAACAAAAAAATCATTGGCGTGATCAAGTGATTCCTGATATGTCGATTTAACGTTCAGCAATTCGGAAGGCACTTTAGCTTTCTGAGATGTATTCAAATTGCATACATTTTTTACAACATCCCAAGTCTTTTTAATATTGTATTTGTTTTCATTTAAGGTATTTTTATTGTGCTCGTTTTTTAATTTATGAAAAATATTATTACAATGATTTCGATATCGTTTATAAGTTAACTCTAGGTCTTTGTCACTTGGTGATTTTAAATGCCTTTTATGCAATGTGTCTCTGAATCTCATACAACGCAATAGACCAGAAGTAATCCACGGTTGGCCAATTTGCTGATGGTTCGGTATTGCAATCAGTTGAGTGTTTTTTTTAACAATAGCGGATAGGGTTTCGATAAAGTATTTGGTTGCTGTGTTAGGGTCCGATATAGATGTTATTTTTGTGAAATCAAATTTATTCATCAGATTGTGAGCTGTATCATAATTAAGTTTTTGAACCATTCTATTTCGTTTAAAGTATTTACCACGCTGCTGACACAAATTTACATTTAAATACAAGCTGCTATGGTCAGTCACCGACGATTTACAAATGACGGTTAACATTTTCGAGTTAGATTTTATGAAACAGTGGTCAATACATTTGTCAAGGCGAGTAGGAAAGAAATGACTCGGCAAAAGACAGTGGGTTGCAAGTAGGTCTAGGTACTCATCAGATTTGGGGTCACTGTTTTGGCTGCTAATATCAATATTAATGTCTCCAGTTAAATAACTGTTAGGTTTGCGTTTCAGCTTAAGTAACAATTCATCAAGGGTGCAAAGAAAATTTGCTATGGAATCAAACGAAGGCGATCTATACAAACAAATAAACATGTTATCTTTATCAATTTCCACCACTAAACAATCAGCATCTACAATCTTTGGTTCGTATACTCTAACATTTTTTAAATTACTTTTAACATAAATAACAACACCGCTGTTCTGATTAATATGCATGTTGGTATTGTACATGTCATATTGTTCTATTTTTGGGATTAAATCAAAATTTTGAAGCCAGCACTCTGTAAGAATAATGATATCGTAATCCACACCACTCCTTGCCATAAGAATTCTAAAATCTTCCAAATTTTTATTTATGCTACGAATATTTTGTACAATAATTTTAAGAGAAGGTATACCAACAAGTTTGCGAAGTGAAAGTGATTCTGGATCCTCAACCAAAAACGAATCTCCAACGTTGATATTGTTATCAACGTCGGTAACAACATCCATAACACTGTTAACCATGGTCAGTCAATGAATTATAATAATTGAAGTAATGATTCAAAGTATTTGGTTGAGGATGGCAGTAACTGATACTGGTGAGAGTACTCTTAGATTTGCAAGCTTTAGACATATTTTTACCATATGTGGACAAGAAATAGTGCAACAATAATCCAATAATATAAAATAAACATAGGTTGTGCCTAAAATAAAAATTAAAATACATGTACTTATGATATCCATTATGATAGCAATACAGATCAAGATCAAAAGTTATCAAGAAATTAAAAATAGCAATAAGCCGGAGTGCCGGCAAACAAAGAACACAACAGCAACATAGTAAACGCAAAAAAAGAGTATAGAAACAGAAAAATATAAAGACATGCAAAATCTCTTTGTAAGAGACGATAGCAACAACAAAAGATAGTCATGTGGACCGCAGCGAGATCAAGTCCTCCTCCCGGTGAACTCTGATGCGTTTGGCATCTTCTTGCTTACGCAGAAATATTCTTTGATTCGAGGTCCAACAGAATTTAAAATTATTTTGTTTGGCAAATTCCCTGGCTTTATGGAATAGTCTTCTACCATTTCCTGGTAAGTGTTCGGAAACATAAATGGGTTGAGATTGTCCCTGAATCCCAATCAGACTTGTATTAAGCTTAAGTCCTACTCCTTATTTTAATTGTAATTGCGTGTAGACACAAGAAATTTATTTTTCATTATAACAGTACCAAGCTCAGCAACAATAGTTTTGCTTGTGGATTTACCAGGAAGGCGATAATCGTCACGAATATTAGACTGGTTTATATCTACATTTAGGGTCTTGCCAATATTCAATACGTGTTGAACAATGTTATCAGTCGTCTAGTTTTCTCTCATTGGAATATTGCGGAGCTCAATGCATGACGATCTAGACCCAAATTCCAAATCCTCAATCCTTTTTGGAGCCCTTCTGTATAATTGTTACATTCCTGTCGTTCTTTTTCAATAATACATAATTTAATCTTCATGCCCTCATAATTGTTCTCTATTATTTCAATCGATTTCTCAATCTCACAATAGGCTTTTTGTATATTTTAATTCTAATTTATATTCTAATTCCGTGTGGTGACGGATTAAGAATACAGAGTGTCACCACCCCTATTCATCCCGTGGGTGTCGTAAGAGCCGACTAAGGGAAGAAACTACGCAGGACAACAGCACTGCAGAGAAGGAAAACTTGACACAAACCCTTTACCAACCCGTCTGGCCAGCGTGGTATAGTAGGCCAAAACCTCCTTTCTCAGGAGAGGCTTATGTCCAGCAGTGGACTATTAAAGGCTGTTGATGATGATGATGATCTTAATCTGCCACCAGCCTCTCCAACAGTGCAGTCTGCCCTGATCTCAAGGACTCGAACATGTCCCGCATTTCAGTATACACAGCGGTGAGGTCGGTACTTGGCGAAAAAGATTCTGTACGAGGCCTTTCAGAACGCGCAGTGATATTGAAAGTTTCCTCATGCATTGCTTTTGGTATGTTCGAATCTGACTGAGACAATATTGGTGCGGTCCTAGTAGTCGGTGGTGTACGTTTCAACGGCATTATACTCTTCTAGTTCTACTTTAAAATAAAATCAAAGTGTGATTGTGTTATTCGTTGATTATATTATTGAGGTGTGACTTACGAGATAGATAAACTTGCTTGATATACGGTCCGAAGCTTACAACGCACACACAGTCGCGAGAAGAAGGTCGCAAGCGCCGTGGAATGCGTGTCGCTTACGCGTTACGTTAAACTACTGCTCACTAACCGTTTGCGTCGGTAGATGTGTATTTGATATAAACTTTATTTACACATTTAATCAATATTAAACACTTCTCGAAAACAATTCATATTAGCAATGGTTCACTGATGATTAAAACTTTTCACTTTTAATTACAGTTAAAGTTTAAGCGTCTTTAAACTATTTGTATTGGCACACATACAGTATAGCAAGTTGTACCGTGTTACCGGTGCGGCGCCAAGTTTGATATATGGATACTGTTTATTGATGCTTTCACAGATTTGAGAGTCCACCTAGACATATCAGTGATCTGAAAGTCCACCTTCAATAACGATTAAGTAACCTATCCTCACGGATACCATCCAAGTTTTTCTTTTTGCGAGGACTTGAATCCCAAGCTTTTCCTTCAAATCTTATTAAATCCCATAAAGTGCAGTCGATTTTAAATTCATAGCTTTGTTACTTATTGTTAATGTGTTTTTTCGTTAGTTTATAATTATGTTATTAACAAACTTGATATAAATAAAACTAAAAAATTAACTAAGTTACTGTATTTTTAAACCATTATGTCATTAAAAAAACTTGTTGAAGGAAGAATTTATTTCAAATAACAATTTTACAAATTTTACAAATTCTGATAAATATATATTCAAATCTATTATATAAGATAAAAAAGTTTCATACAAATGAGTATATAATTATTTCATCACATTTTAAGGAAAAAAATAAATGCCTACTCTTGTTTGGGCAATTTTTTAGGGCATTTGTCAAGTGTCACACATTTTCCGCTAACTGTATCTCTGACGGTGGGGGGGTCGCAGTAGCAACTAGAATAGTCGCATACGTCACCATCACCGATCTTAGGATGTGGCTCGTCACAAGTCGCTTCTGGAAATATAGGACCACATCCTGGTGTGTATCCATGGGTTCCTTCTTCGCATCCTTCGTAGCCTAGAAGCAAGAAATTCTTTATTAAGTTTTATTGTACTGTTTGATGGCAGTTATCATATTCTAGTGATAAAAACTAAAATTATGCTCGACAAAAACTTTGGCTCGACAAAAACTTTGTCGAGCCATGGGATTATTGCTATACCGCTGCTTTTCACCGAGTGAATGAGGTAACCGGAGCCTAAACCCCCCTTCGCCCGGTTGGGGGGGAGAAGAGTTGGTTACTTGTGACTCTTGAGTTTCAAGCAGACGTCAACCTTCTTGAACAGTTATCATTTTCGGACGAGACAAAACAAAAAAAAAATTGAGTAATAAAAATGGAGAGACCCAAGAACTTAGGGTAAGATATATCATAAATCTCGACTGGGGATTATGGCCACTGGTAAAGACAGTCATAAATAAAATACGATGATATTGTATGGAAGACTTATATCATGTTAATTGCCCTAAGAAACACCCCCTACGTAAAATAGAGTACGTAAAGTAGAGGAATATTATCATATCTAATTAATAATATAAACATGTAGATTAGATAAACACGTAGTTACATATTGATCTGTCCGTATTTTCTTAACGTTAAGTTGATTCGTGTAAGTTTAAAAATCAAATTCTATTTGGAGTCTGCGCAATGGGTCTGCGCAACGATTTTGGTTGGTTTCTTTTTTTAAAAGAAAGAAAGTTAAATTATTTATGACTGTGGCAGTTGTACATACTCAGCATGATTCTGTTCTAAGGCGGGAGTCCTGAAACAATACTGGTTTTCAGTGCGAAACCCGTTAAAAGCCGGCTGCTTGCGTGACTCGCATGTATTTTTGTATGTATTCGTTGTCAGAACTGACAAAGATGGCGAGTAAATTGGGGTAAGTGAAATAAATAATAATAGTATTATGTTATATTCACACAACGCCATCTAATCCTAAACTAAGCAGAGCTTGTACTACGGGTACTAGAAAACTGATATAAATAGTTGTATACATTTTTTTTTGTAAGTACATACATAGAAACACCCAGACTAAATCAAACATTGTTTGACTTAAGCGGGAATCGAACCCGCGACCTTTGGCATAGCAGTCCGTAACAGAACCCACTACGCCGTCAGGTCGTCGTTATAGGGCAATAACCTATAATAGATAGTAGGGCAGTAATTACTTACTGCCCTACTATATCGGATGGGGAATCGGGCAAGAGAGTTACGCTCGCCCTTAAGTCCCGGTTAGGGCGACGGTCTAGAGAGTTACGGTACATAAGTCCCTCCAGTGTTTAAAGAAGTCACTGGACAGAAACATCAACGATTAGTGTAATACAATACAATATTAATTTATACGTACATTTTCCTTCTACGTAGATGCAACCTCGCGAATATTGCTGAGGATAAGCAAAGCAAAACGTGGCGAATGCAAAGAAACACAAGATCAATAATAATTTCATGTTTACGAATGTGTATGGACAACTTGTCTCTGCTAGGTTATCTGAGAAGTGAATAATGTCAGCTCAATTACACATGATATATGTAGTTCTCGTTAATATGCCAATATACAGGTTGTTAGGAAAACGTGTCTGTATTTTGGTTTTTATAGACTCCTAAAACATAAACAATTTTAAAATAACTTTTTATGCAAGAGACTTTTTTTGAAACTGCCAATTACACTTAAAAAATGTTTCATATACAATAACAAAAAAGTTACATTAATAAAAAAATAATCTTTGGTTCATTGGCAATGCAATAATATAACCACTTATTTGTTTTGAGTTAATATCTTTGTCACCACACGGATTGTTTTGATTTGTTATCCGTGTGGTGACGGATTAAGAATACAAATTGTCACCACCCCAATTCATCCCGTGGGTGTCGTAAGAGCCGATTAAGGGAGCAAACTAAGCAGGACAACAGTACTGCAAAGAGAAGGAAAACTTGAAACCAACCCTATACCAACCCGTCTGGCCAGCGTGGTATAGTAGGCCAAAACCTCCTTTCTAAGGAGAGGCCTATGTCCAGCAGTGGACTAGTATAGGCTGTTGATGATTGATGAATATCTTTGTCATTATTTTAATCCAGTAAAGATTGTGGAAACGTATAAAATAAAAGACAAAGCATAATATACAGTTACTTATTGTTAAGGTGTTTTTTCGTTAGTTTATAATTGTGTTATTAACTAACTTGATATAAATAAAACTAAAAAATAACTAAGTTACTGTATTTTTAAACCATTATGTCATTAAAAAACTTGTTGAAGGAAGAATTTATTTCAAATAACAATAATTACATCAATAAACTTTTTTTTTTTTTTAACAAATTTTACAAATTCTGATAAATATATAATCAAATCTATTATATAAAATAAAAAAGAGACATACAAATGAGTATATAATTATTTCATTACATTTTGAGGAAAAAATAAATGCCTACTCTTGTTTGGGCAATTTTTTAGGACATTTGTCAAGTGTCACACAATTTCCGCTCACTTTATCTCTGACGGTGGGGGAGTCGCAGTAGCAACTAGAGTAGTCGCATACGTCACCATCACCGATCTTAGGATGTGGCTCGTCACAAGTCGCTTCTGGAAATATAGGACCACATCCTGGTGTGTAACTATGCGTTCCTTCTTTGCATCCTTCGTGGCCTAGAAGTAGGAAATTCTTTATTAAGTTTTATTGTACTGTTTGAAGGCAGTTGTCATATGCTAGTGATTAAAACTAAAATTATGAAGTCGAAAGATCTAACAGCTTTAGATTCGGATGAAATTCGGAACAGAGATAGATTATAGTCTGGAATAACACAAAGGACTTCTAATTATCCAAGAAAATTGATGAGAAAAATCAATTATTTTTCTGTTTTTTTTTGGCTGCTGACTTTTAACTGATCCCAGTTAAAGAAAAATATAAAGTGTCTTGGAATGAATGTGGAATAAATCCGAATTAATTCCAGGACACTTTTTATTTTAATAACTGATTGAATATTGTTTAATTTGCTATTCTTCCTCATACTCATCCCATACGAAAAATTTCTTACAAAAAAGGTTTTGTGAGGACAGTTTGCAAAAACAATTTTAACGACTGTGAAAAAAAGAAGTTATTAACACCTTGTTGTAACGAGGGAAAAATCTCAAAATAAGATGTAGATACAACAGCTATTACCCACCATAGTGTCAAACCAAACTGTTCTCGAACAGCAAAATATAATATTCTACCGCAATCACACAACGCCATCAAGTCCAAAACTAACCAGGGCTACAGTGGGTACCAGACGATTGTACATTTCATATTTGCTTTTTTTTATGTAAATGCATACATATTATACATAGAAACACCCAGACCAAACATCACACAATAATAAACGCATCTCTTTAAAGTTGGATTCTATATTAGACACAGTGAAATATTAAGAAAACATTCGATTGTACTTTACATTAAGTGTTATCGGCATTTTCAATTTAACTCGTCCAGCATGAATTATATGTCAACACAAAAAAAATATGTAACAAAATTGTTAACTTACAGTGTCCATTAATATAGATACAACCCCGTGGATTATTGAATTGCGGCTTGGCAGATGACAAAGCAACGACCATAAGAACACAAAGTACAATTAATAATTTCATATTTATAAGATAGTTGATAATATAACAAGTTATACACGGCCAGCGGAACCGAGTTACTTAAGAACACTAATATGTGTGAAGCGTCTTATCACTTATATACATTGGTATTCTAGAATCACTGACATCATTTTGGACATCAAATTATTGTTATTATAATATAACTATTATTGAGTCTTGCGATATACATAGGCTGTAGGTTCATAGGCCTTACCACACACCACTTAAGATAAACTGATAAATTAAACTTACATTATTAATTATAATTGTTTCGTTTTGTTGTTTTTGTCGGGCCTGTTGGCCTAGTAGGTGGTGATCCTCGCTGCTAAGTCAGAGATGGCCAGTTCAATTCTCACCGAAGAAAAATAAGGTGTGTTTGTTTGTTCTGTATCTAGGTGTTATTTATTTATAATATGTATTTAGACAGTTATGGGTATGTTTATCAGCACTCTGGTTCTGTTAGCACAGGCTCTGTCTAGTTTGGGATTGATGTGTGAGGTCAATATTGTTATTATTTTATATTTTGTTGGATTCTAAATAAAGTGACATGAAATATTTTTGCCGGGTGCTTTACGTTAAAGCTCCTTAGAAATCCAATCATTTTCAGTTAGGCAAAGGAGGACTGTGTGAGGAAAACGGATAGGATGTTACTAAATTTGCATATATCTGAAAGGTATTTATACTATGCACTTGCATTTCTTTTCTGCAATCAAAGCATTGTGCGTGTGGAGACGGATTAAGAATACACAACGTGACCACCCCTCCATCGCGTGTATCCCGAGAAATAGCACTGCAAAGAGAAGGAAAACTTGAAATAACCCTTTTATCAGCCCGTCAGTATGGCATAGTAGACCAAAACTTCCTTTCTAAGGAGAGGTAAATGGCCAACAGTATACTACTAAAGGCTGTTAATAGTTTATGATGAATTAAAACAAAACATAATATTTTATAGTTTTATTAAAAGATGTGTAATTTCCTACTTAACTTTAAGAGCACGTGCAACACGGCAAGCACGGCAAGCAACGTAGGTCACACGCTACCTACTCTGTAACTCTTGTTAACTTCTGTAGTTGACGTGGAATAGTTGTATTAGAAGTGGACTCGCATCGGTAGAGTGCTGGGTGGGATTCGAAACTGCAACCTCTTGATTACATGTTCGATACCTTGGCTATTACCGGTTTAAATATATGCAACAAGCATAAAAAAATATTATTAAAACACTTTTATAGCACATACAAGGCATAAAGTTACTCAAAAAGGACACAAGACATTTTTTAGGGCACTGATACTTGGTGAGTCGCAAATTATAACTCTCTTCTTTAGGATTTGGTTCGTCACAAGTCGCTTCAGGAGTCTTAGGCCTGCAACCCTTCTTGGAACTCACCTTGGCCTGGAAATGCGATTTGCATATTCTAAAATAGGTGACTTAGTTCAGTTTTTTTTTAAAATCTGTATTAAACTAACGAACAAACGAAGAAAGTTTTAAAGAAAAATAGTTTGCTCTCTGCTTTCATATTCAGCATGATATCTTTTATGTAATGGAGTGCAAATGAACAGACCGATCATCTGACGGTAGGTAACTACCGAAGACGTTCTTCTATGAGGCTTTAGTATCACGGAACATGACTCCCTTTTAGTTCCCATCATCATTATCAACAGCTTTAATAGTCCACTGCTGGACTCTATGTCCAGCAGTTAACATAGAGTCCAGCAGTCTCTCCTTAGAAATAAGGTTTTGGCCTGCTATACCACGCTGGCCAGACAGGTTGGTATAGGGTTTGTGTCAAGTTTTCCTTCTCCTTAGCCAGTTTCTTACTCTTTATTACTTTTCGTTTTACAGTTCCTGAGACAATTTGTTAATATCGATTACTTTTAATTAAGAAAAAATTAAAAGCTAGTTATAAACACCCGAAACCTGTTGCCTGATAACTGGTTTACTAAATAACATTTGTTCTCATAACACAAAGACCGATTAGAATAACACTGCGCAATATCATTAAGAATACATTAAAAATTGTGTTCGAACAAGTTCGAAACATACAAGTAAAATTATTGCTAGGCTAAATCACATTAAGACTAAATTATGCAGTGACATATACAAACTGCATACATTCACGGCTATTCTCCAAAGGCTGGACAGAGGCAAATAAAAAAAAATTAAAATTGAGTCCGTGAAAAAAGAAAGTTAGATAAGAAGGCTGAAATCAATATTCTCCCTCCGAGCCTTTTTCCCAAACTAGGTTGGGTCGGCTGAACTTATTTTTTTTACGTGGAGCGTCTATCATCAGAACTCCTGGACCCAAGCACTAGCCGATATTGAAATTCTCTAGACAAACTGTAGTCGGACTATTTAGGAGCCTTGTGCCAGATGTGCTTATGGCTTAACCTGCTCTCCGAACCACGGAAGGGTCTCAATGTGTTAAGAATGGTCACCGTTCCATAGACTGACCTGGCTAGGATTGCTTAACTTTGCAATTTGTTAACCTACTCGGTTACCACTTAGCCGCGAGCCCCTCGGCCCAATGAAATATCCTCAATTGCTAACATGAATTTATTGGTAAGTGTAGTTTGGCTCTACAGACATTGGGCAAATAATGTATTTGTGGATGTAAATGGGACCCGAATGCACAAAACTCATCATTCATCATCATCACTTTAACCATTGCACCATCAACTATTAATTTCATAGACAAACATGATAAGTAAACTTTTTGTGAAGGGAGGATATCCTATCTAGAGTAGTACATTATCTACGAATATGTTATCATCACCAGTAGCCTTTAATAGTCCACAGCTGGACGTAGGCCTCTTCTTAGAAAGAAGGTTTATGCCTACTATACCACGTTGGCTTAACGGCTTGGTATAGGATTTGTGACAAGTTTTCCTTCTCTTTGCAGTTCGGTTGTCCTGCGTAGTTGGTTCTATTTGTCGGTCTTTACGACACCTACGGGATGAATAGGGGTGGTCACCGAATTCTTAATCCCAATCACAGTGTATCCATGTTGGTAGCGATGTCTAACCCAGGATCGAGTCCGTTTGGCTGTAGCCAGTTGATATGAAGGAGTCCCCCACAGACGACAACACAGCAACATCAGTCGATCGTTGAAGGACTGCCCTTGCTCAAGAACAATGATTTACCTAGCTAGGTAAAACAGATGCCGGAGATCTAGAAGTGGATGTCAAGTATTGATGTCCTGTTAGGTGAAGTCTGCTCTATAGTGGCAGAGGGCAAAATCAACACTGATCAGAAGCTGCGTGTCACAAATATTTGCCGTAAGATTGGATCTGGAACGTCTCAGATGGCCGAATTGTATCAATCATTAAAGCAAAAGCCTATTCTGACTGGCCTGTTGGTCTAGTGGTTAGTGACCCTGACTGCTATGCCAGAGGTCGTGGGTTCGATTCTCACCCAGGACAAATAATTGAGAGCACGGTCATTTGTTCTGTGTCTGGGTATACTTTATCTATAATATGTATGTATTTGGAAATATTTAAGTATGTTTATCAGCAGTCTGGTTACCATAGTACAGGCTCTGCCTAGTTTGGGATCAGACAGCTGTGTGTGAGATGTGCGAAAATATTATATTATATTATATTCTAGCGCATACCACAATACAGCATCTGCAGAAGAACCAAGATGTAGTGAGCTTCTTCAACAGGTTCAAAACCGTGGCTGAAGAAAATCTGAGACCACAAGAAGTTCGCTCTTTTGCGCAAGTTTGTTCGTCCGAGCATTATTAGTACCCTAGTCATCTATCCTAGTGACAAGACCAAGACGAGTGATGAAACCAAGTCCCTAGGTATTTAGTAGTAATCTGTTCAAAACTCTAAGTCAAGCGATCGCCCGAAATACCATTTTACCCTAGTTCAGGCAGGCAGCGATCAAAGGTTTAGATATAAATTTTATTATATACCTTTATGTGTAAAAGAAATATGTATAAATAAAGTAGTTTTACCTTAGTTTTACACTGGTGTTACTTAAGGTTTAATGAAATCACTGTTTAGGATCTATTTTAAATAAAAATATCCTACACTGTAAAATATTATTTGACAAATAAATAAATATTATTATTAGATTATATTAATCCGTCACCAGACTTTAACTTTAGTGACAAATTAACTTTAACTTACATTTTCTCAATACATTGATGCAACCTCGCGGATGCAGTTGAGGTTTAGAAGACGATAATGCGACCAGCGCCAGAACACAAATGGCAACTTAAACTTTCATATTAATAATGATGTTTTTAATTTGGGAGAATATTACGAGATGCAGTATAAGTTGTAACACTGAACTGGATGCTACATCCTAAATAAGTCGGTTTTATATATTGTTTTATAAACTACCATGGATGTTCTTTTTGTCCGTTTCATGTATACTTTAAAAAAAAATATGTAATTATGGTACTGTATAATGCGCTTTCGCAAATTAAACAAAGCAAGCAATCAAGTCTACAAACGTAGTGTATTACTATACCTATACTATATATTGTATTCTTAATATTCGCCAACGCGAATAAGAATGGGAATCTAGTATTTCGTTGGCAATGCAGTAATGTAACCAAAAAATATATTTATGATAATGTTTTTGGTAAGTCTTGACTTTGGTTCATAACTTATTTTGTTTTGAGTTTACATTTCTATCATAATTTTTTTATTCAATAAAATTTGTGGAAACGTTTAAAATTTAAGACAAAGCATAAAACATATTATGTATAATACAGTTACTTATCGTTAATATGTTTACTCGTTAGTTGAAGACTTGGTGGAGAAAGAATTTATTCTAAATAACTATTATTACTCAAATAAACTTCTTTTTCTTTACAAATTTTGATTAATATATAGTCAAATGTATTGAATTAAATAGGAAAAGAGACATACAAATGAGTATATAAATATGTGTAAGTACGTGATACATATTTTGAGGAAAATATAAATGTTGTTGTTGGCCATTTTTTTAGAACTTTTGTCAATAGTCACACATTTGCCGCTTACGGTATCTC